CATCAGGAAGAAGGGGAAAATTTGAACGGACTGATTACTAGCAATGAAATTGGACCAGTGATCAAAAAATTCCCAACAAACAAAAGTCCAGGACCAGATGGCTTCACAGGAGAAGCTACCAAACATTTGAAGAGTTAATACCAGGGTGCCCGGGTTTCTGGATTTCAGCCCAGGTCATGAACTCAGGGTTGTGAGACTGAGCGTGGCAGTGGCCTTTGCATTTGGCATGAAGCCTGCTTAAGATTTTATCCCCCCACCCTGCTGCCATCTTTCCTTTTCCTCCTGTGCTCCCCCAACTCACATTTAAAAAGTTAGGGTGGGGCGAAAAGAGTTAATACCTATTCTTCTCACACTGTTCTCATAAATAAATAAATAAAAAGGAAAATTCCAAGTTCATTCTATGGGGCCAACATTTCCCTGATCCCAAAACCAGATAAAGATACCACATACACCCACAAGAGTGAGCAAGCCAATTATCTCAACACAGACAAAAAGGTTTTTTAAGAAAAGAATTAGCAAAGAGAAACCAAGGATATATTTAAAAAAAAAAAAAATCACTCAGCCTGATCAAGTGAAATTTATTCCTGGGATTATATTTTGGGTCACAAATTAATGAAATATAAAAGAATAAGAACATTTTAATAGGCATAGAACAAACATTTGACAAAGTAAAATATCTGTTCATGATAAAAACCCTCGAGTAAGTAGGCTTGGAGGGAACACACTTCAACATAACTAAGGCCTTTTATGAAAAACCCATAGCTACCATCATTACTCAAAGAGGGAAACAGCTTTTCCCCTAAGGTCAGGAACAAGGCAAGGATGCCCACTCTCAACTTTTATTAACATAATACTGGAAATCCTAGCCCCAGCACTTAAAGAAATAAAAAGACATCCAAATTGGTAAGAATGAAGTAAAACACATTATTTGCAGATGACAGTACTCTATATAGAAAACCTAAAGACTCCACCAAAAAAATTAGAACTGATAAAGGAATTCAGTAAAGTTGCAGGATATAAAAATCAATGTACAGAAATCCATTGCATTTCTATACACTAATAATGAAGAAATAAAGAAACCTTAAGAAGATAATCCCATGGAAAACTACACCAAACAAAATGTTTAGGAATAAATGTAACTAAAGAGGTTAAGAACTATACTCTGAAAACTAAAAAACATTGAGGAAAGAAATTGAAGTGGGCACAAATAGGAAGATAATCCATGCCCATAGATTGGAAGAATATTAAGATGTCTATAGTACCCAAAGCAGTCTACAGATTTAATGCCATCCCTATCAAAATACCAGCAGCATTGTTCTCAACTAAAACAATTCTTAAATTTGTATTGAACCAAGTGAGATCCCAAATACCCAAAGCAATCTTGAAAAAGCTGTGTGTAGCACAATGCCAGTTTCCACATTATAATGTAGTAAACAAAAAAGTATTGTACTGGCACAAAAACAGACATATGGGTCAACAGAACAGAATAGAAAATCTAGAAACAAAGCCATGATTATATGGTTACTTAATCTTTGACAAAGCAGGAAAGACTATTCAATGGGAAAAAAGATGGTCTAGTCTTTTCAACACCTGATGCTGGGAAAACTGGGCAGCTATATGCTAAAGAATAAAACCAGATTACTTTCACCATACACAAAAATAAACTCAAAATGGATTCAAGACCTAAATTTGAGATCTAAAAGCCATAAAAACCATAGATGAGAGCAGAGGTGTTAAGGTCTCTGACATCAGCCATACATTTGTCTACATAGGTCTCCTGAGGCAAGGGAAACAAAAGCAAAAATAAACTCCTAGGACTTCATCAAAATAAAAAGCTTCCCTACAATGAAGGAAACAGCCAATGAAACTAGAAGACAACCTGCTGAATAGAAGATATCTGCAAATGACATATCCAGTAAAGGGTTAGTATTCAAAATACGTAAAGAACTTATAGAACCCAACTCCAAAGAAAACCTAATTGAAAAATGGGCAGAAGACATGAACAGGCATTTCTAAGACAACATGCAGATGGCCAACTGACCCATGAAAAGATGCTCACATCACTCATCATGAAAAAATGCTCCATGTCATTCATCAGGAAAGAACAAATCATAACTGTAATGAGAGATCACCTCATACCTGTCGGAATGGCTAAAATCAAAGAAACAAGTGTTGGCGAGGATATGGAGAAAAAGGAACTCTCTCCTACTGTTGGTGGGAACATGAGCTGGTACAGCAACTGTGGAAGACAGTATGGAGGTTCCTCAGAAAGGTACCTCTATGAGCCAGTATTCACACTAGTGTGTATTGAGCCAAAGAATACAAAAACTCTAATTGGAAGGATGTACCCCTATGCTTACAGTAGATTTACAATAGCCACTTTATATGGAAACAGCCAAAGTGTCCACTGATAGATGAATGGATAAAAATGTGGCATGTGTAGTATGTATATATTATGTATACACACAGAACAGATTGTCCAGCTATAAGGATGAAGTTGTGCCATTTGCAACAATATCTAGAGTAAAATGCTAAGCAATATAGTCCAGCCATAGAAAGCAAATACCATACGACCTCACCTTTATGTGGAATTTAACAAAGAAAAAAAATAAAAAAACCCACAAACCAAAAAATAGACTCTTAACTACAGAGAACAAGCAGATGGTTATCAGAGGGGAGGTGGGCAAGCAGAAGGGTGAAATAGGTGAAGCGGATGAAGAATATACTTATGGTGAGCACTAATGTATAAAATTGTTAGATCACTATGTTCTACACCTGAAACTAATAGAACACTATGTTAACTATATTGAAATTAAATTTTTTTAAGAAGGGAAGAAGCTGAAAAAAATTTTTTAAAGGACATTCAGAAATTTTCAGGGTACCAAAAAAAAAAAAAAATCAATATATAGAAATCTGTTGTGTTTCTATATACTAATAATGAACTAGTAGAAAGACTAAGAAAATAATCCCATTTATAATTGCATTACAATATTTAGGAATAAGTTTAATCAAGGAGGTGATAGACCTATACTTTAAGAACAGTAATACATTAATTAAAAAAAAAAAACCCACTGAAGATACAAATAAATGGATATACCATGCTCATGAATTGGAAGAATATTGTTTAAATGTCCATACTACCCAAAGTAATCTACAGGTTCAATGCAATTCCTGGCAAAATACCTATGGTATTTCACAGAACCAGAACAAGTAATCTAAAGATTTGTATGGAACCAAAAAAGATACCAAATAACAAAGCAATCTCAGGAAAGTAGATGGATATCGTGCTTCCGGATTTCAAACCACATTACAAAGCTACAGTAATCAAAGCAGTATGGTATTACTAGCACAAAAATATATACCTAGTGCAAGAGAACAAAGCAGAGGCCAGAGAAACTCCTACTCATCTAGTCAATCTACAACAAAAGAGGCAGGTATATACAGGGAAGATGTCGGTGAGGATGTGGAGAAAAGGGAACACTTGTACACAGTTGGTGGGAACAAAAATCAGTACAGCCCCACTGGAGAACAGTATGGAGGTTCCTCAAAAAATTACACATACCGTTTTGATGTAGTCGTTTCACTACTAGGTATTCAAAGAAAATGAAAACACTAATTTGAAAAGATATAGGCACCGCTATGTTTATAACAGCATTATTTGTAACAGCCAAGCAACGGGAGAAACTCAAGGGTCCATCAGTGGATGAATGGGAAAAGATATGGTAGATACTATGGACTGGAACTCAAACATAAGAGGATTTCTTGCCATTTACAGCACAGATGGACCCGAGGGCATTAACGTGAAGTGAAACAAATCAGAAATACATGATTTCACTTCTATGGGGAATCCAGAAAATAAATGAACAACAACAAAACGGATTCTTAAATGCAAAAGACAAAGGTGATTGCCCGAGGGGAGGTGGGTGGGGGATGGACAGAAGAGAGGAGGGGGATCCAGAGTTACAAACCTCCCGTCACAAGTCAGAGTTAAGTACAGCCAGAGGAGTGCTAACACCACAAACTCCATCTCTGGCCTCCGACTCCGTGTCTTGTTTGTATTCGCGCCATGCCCGTGACCTGCCTCGGGGCTCCATGCTCCATGCCCCATGGGGAAGGGGTGTCCTGACTGGAATGCGTAGTCTCATTCTGACCCTCCCTTAAGTAAGGCCCAGAAGCCCCCACTGTAGAGAACTAGTACAGATCTCCGGTGCACAGCTGGCTTGAGATAACTACCCTTAACCCGACCACCATGCCTCTCACGCTATACAGGCTGCGGATTAAGGTCTGGACTTTGCAGCAAACAGCTGCCTCGATCGGGGATCATTGGTCTGCTCCATCCCACCGCCTCCCCCATCAGTAAGTTATCCTGAATATAGCTGTGTAAACAGTACAGAAGGCTTGCTTCCTTCTTTGGTCTTAGAATGCCTTCTCAAAGTATAAATACGGCAGTAAAGTTATAAGACGACAGAGCAGCCACACTCATCGTAGAGAGCATTAAGTCATGTACCTAATTGTCAGATCGCTATGTTGTACCCCCGAAACTCTAAGTCAACTGTACTTAAATTGAAATTTTTTTTGTTGTTTTCTAAACATTGACAGAGAGAGAGAGAGAGAACGTGCACAAGCACATTAGCAGGGGTACCGGTGGAGAGGGAGGAAGCAGCAAACTCCCCGCTGAGCTGGGAGCCCCATCCAGGACTCCATCCCAGAACCCTGGGATTATGACTTGAGGCAAAGACAAACACTTAACCAACCGAGCCCCCCAGGCGTCCCGCATTAGAAATATTTAATATAAAATAAAATGGACCTCAGGCAAATCAAGACATACTTTATAACAAAATCTGTTACTTTATAACAAAATCTGTTACCATAGGACAACCTGGGGCAGGGGGTCAATAAAGCTAAGTACTGAAACATGTTTTACTTTTATATGTTATTTAGATGAATATTTATACCAGAATATTCTAATAAATAGTCAATTTAGTTATAAATATACTTACCTTTACTACTACTCCTGGAAATAATCTAGAAAGAAAAAGTAAAGCTTGTATTATTTTATAAACCATTATCAACTATAATATTAATTCATTAGACCTAATATTTCTCTAATAGGCAGCAGACTTTCATTAGTAGGAAAAAGAAATCCTATCTGACCTTCAGTCACTATTAAAAATCAGCTTATCTCCCTTAAATAGGTGAATAATGTATGCATGAAATCACTTTTTTCCATAGCATTGGTTATATATGGTTTCTATTTCATGTATTTTAATAAAATATGAGTATTGGCAAAACCCACATCTTAGAAAACAAGTTTTATAAGTAACTTGAAGATTCCTGAAAATTACCAATGGTATCTGTCCTTGCTTCCTTACCAAGGCTGTGTCAAAGAAGTCTTCTATAACATCAGTGAGGGATGTGTCGGACGCTGACTCTGCCATGGTCAGAAATGCGGTTGTTTTTTCAAACCAGGAAACCATGTACACAAGAGAAGAAACAATGATGGAACTTTCTGTGGCCATGTAACTAGGTCTATTCAATAAAGTTTCATAAATCTTTTACCAGACCAAAACAGTTTTAGAGACAGGTTTCTAGAACATTTCAGTTAGACCACTAAGGCCTCCATCTAGAACTCTCCAGAATCAAGTCCTACCGCTAGAGAGTTGTACTAATTGTCAGATACCAGCAAGGGTTGGCCAGGATTGATGCCAAGAAGTCCTATATAGGGTCTGGTGATTGAAGATTAAGAGATAAATGAGCCTCCCCCACACAGCAGCAATTCTTGTCATCTGGGAGGCTGGAGAAAGACTATTCAAAGAATATGCAGAATTTGCAAAGTGCTCCAGAAGTACAATATATATGCTTCAGGCCAATCTTCTGCCAAAAGCTTCCAGCTAATTGGAGATTTGTTTTCCTGTAGGAACATATATCCACATTCCTATTAAGTTGCTAGGATTGGTAGGATTTAAAGTAAACTCATATAAACCCTCCTAGAATCTTTATTCAAAAAAAGGGAGGGCCATCTTTAGACCATTTTGGCTTATAAAAATAATCCTGTGTGCATAGTTTGACATTTTCAATTGAACATGTAAGAGGAGTTTGTAATGAAAAATGCTTAGAGGAATGAGCCTTGGAAACTTGGTCCACTTTGGAGCCAAGAACCCAGCTGGGGACCATAGACAAACCAATCCACTCACAACCTTGACTGTACATTAGGAAAACCCAGAGAGCTTTGAAACCCCTGATGCCAGAGACCCATCACAGACCCAATACATAGCTCTCTCTGGTGGTGGGACCCAGAGAGGGCTTTTAAAAGCTCTCCAGGGGCTTCTAATGCACAGTGAGCGGGGAGGGCCACTACTGAGTTCTAAGGGATGTTTCTTTGATCTCAAACCAGGCAAAGATTTGTACTAGATTGAACCATCCACCTTCTGAAGCAAACTTTTCTCCAACAGCTTAAGGGGAGAAAAAAAAAAAAAAAAAGCCTTCTATACAAGGGAACTCACTACTAAGGCGGTATTTCCCACTTCCTATAGTCCTACTCTGAATGTTAGGCTTTTAAGTATATTTGTCATGATTCCATTTACCACCCTAAATCCTATTCCCCTCTCAGCACACCAGAATATGTTGAGCATAGATTCAGCGAAGTGAGGGCAGTGCCACATTATTTGATCAAGACTTGGGATTAGAAAATCACTTTGGACCTCCTTCTGTGCCATGATCATACATGTCCCCACAGCTGTGGGATTACCAGAAGCCAGACTAAATAGTTATTTACAGAGGTACTAGGTACTACTTATACATATGGTAGAAGACAAGTTGCTTAATTCTCCAGGATCTTAGGGTACGGGACTAAATAGGTTCCTTCCCATAGGAAATTCTTACTCTGGGGAGAATAATTTCCCAGTACGTTTTGAGTTGACCTGCAAAACTAATCAACTTTAGAAGTATAGAATCTAGGGCACCTGGGTGACTCAGTGGGTTAAGCCTCTGCCTTTGGCTCAGGTCATGATCTCAGGGTCCTGGGATAGAGCCCAGAATCGGGCTCTCTGCTCAGCAGGGAACCTGCTTCCCCTCCTCTCTCTCTGCCTACTTGTGATCTCTGTCAAATAAAAACTTACATGAAACAGAACATGCTTTAGAATGTGCCTAAGTTCTGGTTCTCAAATTTCCATCGCCAAGCAGAATTCCAACAGAATATGGAAATTTCCATTTGATTTCAAAACTCCAGTGGAAATTTGACCTGACCCTTTAAATCTTGGAGGGGTTTTTTTTTTTTTTTTTTTTTTTTTTACACGATTTTATTTATTTGACAGAGATCACAAGTAGGGGGTGGGGGAGCAGGCTTCGTGTGGAGCACAGAGCCCAATGCAATGCGGGCTCAGTCCCAGGACTCTGGGATCATGACCGGAGCCTGAAGGTAGAGGCTTAACCCACCGAGCCACCCAGGCACCCCTTGGAGGGGTATTTTTTTAAATCTAAACAGAAAATTCAGGTTGGGACAGATCCCAATTCATCTTCCCCTTCCCCAGAACAAAAGAAAACACCAATCAGCTTAGGTTCCAAGTCACCGAGGGGGGTGTGTGTGTGTATTCTGTTCCCTTTCCTTTGAAATGGTTTTACCTCCTCTTCCCCATCTCCTGTCATCTGCGTAACTACATGAGGGAGTTAGGAGGCACTATGTGCAAAATGAAATATATAGTTTACCTAAGCAAAATCCTTAGATGCATCCCTCTCCGCCGCCCTCCAAATGGTTTTAAAATCCCTGAGAGGAGTTAGGGAAAGCCTGGTGTTTATTTGCTCTTCCCTCAACCCCCAGAGGGGGGGTGCCACATAGTTAGAGTCATTTTAAAGTTTGGAAAAAAAAAAAAAAAAAAAGGGAGGTAGTGGAGCACAGGGAGATCTCCCTGAGCCAAGCTGGTTTTTAAACAGATAATATTTTTTTAATTATGTATGGTAACATATAGTATGTACTCACGCATCCTATCAAGATATAGAACATTTCCACTCCATAAACTTTCCCAGGGCCGCTCTCTAATCACTATCACCACCAGTGTTAGCCACTATTTTGTCTTCTAGAACCACAGGTTAGTTTAGCCTTGAATTTCACATGAATAAATCATATTCCATATACTCATCTATGACCACTTTAACTTTTCATTTTATTGTGTTATGTCACCATAAAATGCATCATTAGTTTTTGATGCAGTGTTCCAAGATGCGTTGTCTATGTCTAACACCCAGTGCTCCAGGCAATACATGCCCTCCTTAATACCCACCACCAGCCTCCCTCATGCCCCCCAAAACCTTATTTGTTTCTCAGAGTCCGCAGTCTCTCATGGTTCCTCTCCCCCTCCGATCTCCCCAATTCTCTTTTCCTTTCCTTCTCCTAATGTCCTCCACGTTATATTATGTTCCACAAGTATGTGAAACCATAAGATAACGGACTTTCTCTGCTTCCTTGAGCAGAGGCCTTGCTAATCTCCTATCATTCCAATTTTAGTATATGTGCTGCTGAAGCAAGCATGCCAACCTGGTCTTACTAAACGTCAGATACTAGAGGCGGGGAGGGGGGGGGGTGGATTTTGGAACCAGCCAGATCAGGCTCCAGCCCCTCTATCTTCCCCCATCTCCTCACCAACAAATCAACATCTAAAAGGGCTGCGAAGTCTGCTCATGAAAAGAGGGACATAACAAGAGATTTGATGAACTCTGCTTTGCTTCCAGATGCCATTGTCAAAGCATAATAGTACCCTCTCGTTAATCCCTAAAACACAGAATTAACAGTCACAACTGCCTGAATTAGAAGCATTCTTTTTTTTTTTAAATAAACATATAATGTATTTTTATCCCCAGGGGTACAGGTCTGTGAATCGCCAGGTTTACACACTTCACAGCACTCACCATAGCACATACCCTCCCCTATATCCATAACCCAACCACCCTCTCCCTACCCTCCCCCCAGCAACCCTCCGTTTGTTTGGTGAGATTAAGAGTCACTTATGGTTTGTCTCCCTCCCGATCCCATCTTGTTTCATTTATTCTTCTCCTACCCCCTTAACCCCCCCATGAAGTGGAGATAGAATAAGCATTCTAATAAGTATTTTTGTTCTTTGTTTTCTCAGATTCAACTGAGTTTCACGGTTGGAAAAATAGGCTGTGGCAAGGGGAAGTCTTTGATCATTTATCCAAAATGAGTCTTGTTACTCATGTCTATCAAAACAGCTTTTAGAGCCTTTGAGTGGGGGAGCATGTAATAGTTACTCCCGACTCAGGCTATATTCAGGTGAAATTCACTAAAATAATTAAAACCTGCGACTACAACATTGGCTGGTCAAGGGGAGAAGAGGGAAGGTCGGGCTCATCCCTGCAGGCTCCCAGAGCACTCAGCACATATACCAAACAACCCATCCTGAATTTCATGTTTGCTGATAAAGGCAGTAGGCATCCCTACCAATTTTGCAAGTTCGATTGCAAAGGAACAAACTACCAAACTAGATAACTGGTTTCATTCCAGTTCTCTAAATGACACAATGCCATACAAAATTAAAACAAGACACTTATCTTTGGGATCAGCCCCTGCTGAATCAGCAAAGGCTCCTCTTCCTTGAGGCCGTCAATGAAGAATCGTTGAAGACATTTCAGCAACAGCGAAACATGCCGAAATTCATTTTTCTCCAGTTGCTGGGTATTAGACCACACAAAGTTAAAACCTTACAATGAAAATTACTAAGGGAGTGGATCCTAAAAGTTCTCAGCACAAGAAAATTTTTTTTCTTTTAGGTTTTAAGTAATCTCTATTCCCGACACGGGGCTCGAACTCATGACCCCTTGCTTTTCTGCCTCAGCCAGCCAGGTGTTCTTCATCACAAGGAAATTTTCTATTTTGTATCTATGAGATGACAGATGTTAAATAAACTTGTTGTGGTCATCATTTCCCAATACATGTCAAAGCACTATATCAAACCCCTTGACGTTACAGCGCTAAGGGTCAATTATACCCCCAATAAAACTTGGGGGGTGGGGAAGCATTCAGAATAATCACACATTGGTATTCTCCCTCCCCTCCCCCCCCCACAATCAACTTTACTTGCCTTATTTATGGATCTGTCAAGATAATAAAATACAAGATGATTGTATTTTTGAGGAACGCGGCTTTCTCTCTGTTGAAAATACTCTTTTATTTTCTGAAATCCTTTATCATGGAAAGCATCCATAATAAGTGATTGAAGCTGGAAAGTTGAATAGTTTGCAAATTATTTCCCCCCCAAGAATATTTGTTTCATAGTCCTATTTCTATCAATAATTCAGTGTGGAATTAATAGAGGATAAATGTAGTTCTACCTTGAACAGTAAATCATTTAGCCAATGATTGCAAGCTCTCTTAAACCAACAAGCTCAAAACCTGGTTTGTGGACCACCAGCAGCACGGTCATCACCTGTGGACTTGTTAGGAATTAGAAACACCAGAAGAGGTGGGGGAGGGCTTCACCAAATTGCATGCTAAGTTGGAGAGCCACTGACTTAGAACTACACTTAAAGTCCTGATATCTGTGGGAGAAGAGACTTTATCCTTATTAAGGTTAGAAATTCTAAGACACTGAAAACGCAAATTTTGAGTGACACAAATGACAGAATTTGAAGAACATGAATTTCACAATCACAGGTTGTTGACTAAGTATGCGAATTGTCATAATGAGTGAAATTTTTTCCACCTGAACATCAGCCAAGACCTACTTCTAAATACATGCATTTGAACAGACCCTTAAGTATCTGTACTCTAAAGATAGGATTTTTTTTCCATTTTTATAAAATTTCATTCTCACAGGTTAAATTACCAATATACAATTTTTTAAAGATTTTATTTGACAGAGAGAGAGAGAGATCACAAGTAGGCAGAGTGGCAGGCAGAGAGAGAGAAAGAGGGGGAGAAGCAGGTTCCCTGCTGAGCAGAGAGCCGGATGCAATGTGGGGCTGGATCCCAGGACCCTGAGATCGTGACCTGAGCCAAAGGCAGAGGCTTAACCCACCGACCCACCCAGGCTCCCCTACAATATTATTTTAGTAAGGAGGTATTTTACTATATACAGCTCCAAATTCCGCATATTCTTAGTACTGATTTAAAAGGAAAGATACCATTTGAAATTAAACATGTGAACAGAATATTTTTAAGTGAAACTTTTGTGCGCAGAGTGTTGCACAGATGTTTTCACGTAATCCTTACCACCACCCTGAAAGGACAGATTCTTTATCTGGGGAGATTGAAAGGCTGGGAAAGGTTAAGAACTTTCATGAGATCGCCCAGCTGAGATTTACACTCCGACTCTCGGAAGCTCAAGCCTCTGCCTGCTTAAGACTCCACTTGGCTTCCCTGCACTCAGAATAATTCCAAACACTTTGCCTTGGTCTTCAAGGCTCTGCAGGATTTGATCTGGCAACTTCTTCTGCCTGACTTCCCTACTAAGTCAAAAACAAACAAAATAAAAGTTAAATTACATTATTATTTTTTTTTAATCTCAAACTCTGCCTTCCCTCAGGGCCTTTGCACTGACTGTTCTATGCCTAGACTGCTTCTTCCTGCCACTTTCTACCTGGCTGGCTCCTTATCACCCTCTGATCTCCGCTTCATTATCACCTTTTTAGGTCAGTCTTCCAGGACTAACTCAAGTAAGGCAAGTGCCTCTGCTCTCCACTCTCCATGAGGATCTCCTCTTTCTTTCCTTCCTACACCTTCCCTTTGGTCAGTAACCTATTTCTTTGGCTCTCCACCAAGCTGTAAGCTCCATAGGGGGAGGAATTGTATGTTTTGTTCAATTCTGTTTACCTAGAATACTACCTGGCCCAAGATAGTTCAGAGTAAGATATTGGTAGGGTAGCCGAAGGTATGGTAATGAACTGAATAGGAGACTAGGGAAGAGGAAGGAACAAAGATTTCTCTGCCTCTGGCTTGAGCAACTGAGAACTTTTGTGCTGACAGCCAGCAAACACAGAACTAGGAAGAGGGCACGCACACACCCGCTCTCTCCCTCCCCACCCAGCAAAAAATAAACTTGATCTTTACATAGAAAGCGTCGGGGGCAAGTCCACTTCCAGTGTCTTCCTTCACAGACTGCAAAGGACCTTGCTCTACCTGTGTACAAAAAGATTGATTTTAAAAAATGCCTCCAAAAAATGAATCTCAAGTTTTAAAAATTAAAGTAATGAAGCATCACAGGGTCATCCCGAACAAGAACTTTGTTGACTCATGCCACTGATTACAGGTCTAAGTAACATAGTACTTAGAAATAATTTAACTTTCTTCGGTACTAGGACAACTACAGACTTCCACAAGTAGCAAAGCAAACAACATTGTCATCACCGTCACACAAAATAGACAAAGTCTGTAGTGACAGCTATAAAATAGGAGGCTTTGGGTTAAATGAACCATTTTTAGAATGAGAGCTTATAAAATAAAGTTTTGGAAAGTGTGTTTCAAGCCCAGTCGTGAGATGGAGCTCTAGGTTGCTTTCTGACTTCATTGAATTTTAAACACTCCTCCAGGACTTTTACTGCAACTTCCAGGATCAAATACTAACAACAGCCACAAGAGAATTCACAAGGCATTTAGTAATAGATTGTTACACCTTTTCCTCAAGAGTAATCCCTGGGTCCACACCTTGGTTTTCACAACACATTATGCTACATTAAGTAACAGCATCTCATCTCACTTCACCCCAACAATTATTTAAAAGTACAATACACAAAAAAATAAACTTCAAATATCTCCTAAAGATATGCTTTGTTGTTGTTGTTGTTTTATCTAGCTTGGGCTCACAGTACTTCTATATGGACTTGAAAAGATCCTTGAATGTCAACACATGTTACAATATTATTCACAAATATGAAAAGTTGGGTGACCTTAAAGACCCAAATGCAGACTTAACTATTTTTTTCACCAGCAGTGACTCCAGTTAAACGAATGTTGAGAAGTGGGACCACTGGTGGGGCCGCGGGCCTTTTAGGGACCTTTATCTACAGCGCGGGTAGCCCGAGTCCCCGTTTGGTCCCTACACTTGGGAAGCAGGTCTGAGCCCAGATGCGTTAATGTCACTGCACGGTCTACGCAGCAGCAGGGGCTGGGAAAACGCCCGCCGCAAATTGAGAAGAACGATTTCATGGCCTCCTAAACATTAATTCTCCAGTTTCCTCTTCCATGGGCAAGGGACCAGAGGTTTCTATCCTGGCTGGTTCCCTCGCTGAAAGCTCCGGATAAACTCTGAGCAAACCTAAGGAGGTGGAAGGGGTCAAGGGCCCGCAGCCCCCACCCCCCAGCTCTTCCGCCAGCGTCAGGGCACGGTAGCAGGTGCCGGGTCCGGGGGAACACGCCAGCCTCTGCACCCAGAACCCGACGGACCACACATCCGTGCGCCCCCCCTGAACCGCAGAGAAAGGGCTCGGACTAAACCCCGGCCCTCCCAGTCCCACTCACCGCCTGCATCCCGAGGCTCCCGGCCCAGAGCGCGCCTCCCTCGTGCGCAGCGTTCAGCCTCGTGCGGTTCTGCGGCCGGAAACCCGGGCGAGCTGGACTCCCCCACGGCGAGGGTCGGGGGAGCCTCGCGGCTTTTGAGCTCCAGTCCTCGCCCGGACGCTAACCAATTACCCAGCACCTGAAATGTGCTCCGCCCCTATATGAGACGCAAGATACCCTCGCGAGTGATTAGCAGTCCTGGTCGGGCCACCTGGGCGCGCGCACGCACACCGGGCAGCGGTTCCTCCGAGGCTGTGAATACGGTCGCGGAAACACTGTTTCCTTGCGGAGCTCTAAACTGACAGATCCTCCCTCTGTGGAAGCCCCAGGTTTCTCTCCGCCTTCACCTGCTGGCTGAGCTGTCTTCGGTCTCCGGATACTGATAGAGACAAAAAACTGGAGTTTCCCCAGTAGGAAGCAGATTTGCACCTGAAATTGTGAGAATATTCCTGACTTCACAAAAGAAGGGCTCCCCCCGCCCAATAACATGGTCTTCTCAGTCAAAACCAAAACCAAACAAAACGGGGCGGGGGGGGGGGGGCAAACAAATAATTTCATCCACTCGCCTTTCCTACCTATTTCCTTTAACCCAGCTGGAGTGTGTGCTAATGACCAGGTTTTCGCCGTTAAGTAGCCTGTTTATGTGGACACGGTGGCAAAATAAATTGGACTGCGGTTTTTGTTGTTGTTGTTGTTGTTTGTTTGTTTTTAAAGCAAACAAATATGGGGCACCTGGGTGGCTCAGTGGGTTGAGCCTCTGCCTGCGGCTCAGGTCAAGATCCCAGGGTCCTGGGATCAAGCCCCATATCCGGGCTCTCTGCTCAGCAGGGAGCCTGCTTTCCCCCCTTTCTCTCTCTGCCTGCCTCTATGCCTACTTGTGATCTCTCTCGTCAAATAAATAAATGAAATCTTTTTTTTAAACATCACTAAGATCTAAACTTTCCTTGTGTAAAAATCAATTTGTGTTATGATTACAAACTATGGGTATTTCATGTCAAGACATTTACAGAACATACCTGTTTGCATCAAATTAAGACCTAATAGAACGAGAATCTCTGCTAGTCAGCCCAGGTCAGCACACACACCTGACTTCCGTTCAAAATGGTACTTATTTCAAAGATCATGATGTCTGTTTCCTGGCCAATACCATGTAAATATACTTATATTAATTTCCTGATTTTCATCCAAGCCTTGCAAATGCAAAGGCTTTTGCCTTTGCTTTTTAATTAATGAGCTTTTACTGTATCAAAATAATAATGAAGGAAGAGCCAGCTATGAATATAAAGTTGTTCTGAATCAAAGAAAATACTAGCACAGGAAAAAAAATAATGGAAGGCTAGTAACAAACAATAATTAAAATACAGTTTAAGTGCATTTGACTTTACAGAATAAAATAATGAGAATACAATAAAATATAATAAAATTACAGTTTGTGTAATAATAGGCAAAAACTTGATAATCAGTTATTTATAGGGAGTAAACATATCCTTCCAAACTATAGGGTTGCTAATGCATTCAAACTTTCTGGAGAAAGTTTGAACTATGTTTTATTTTTATTTTAAAATTTTCACTTCAATTAGCTTTTTAATTTTTTAAGGGAAGCTCCACACCCAACCTGTGGCTTGAACTCATGACCCTGAGATCTAGACCTGAGCTGAGACTGAATCAGATGCTCAACGAATGAAGCCACCCAGGCAGCCCCCCTCGCCATGAGCTTATTTTACTAACATGTTTTACTGAGACATAATTTTAGAGCAATTTGGAATTAAGATTTTAATTCTTCTGAAACTAATAATGGAAGAGACACAATGACATTTCTTTAGAGACTAGAATCCATTTAGAAAAAAAGGTATATAATTAATTTATTTGGGTTTAACGTTAAAAATTGTTATGTGTTTATATTTTTTAAAAGATTTTATTTATTTACTTGACAGAGATCACAAGCAGGCAGAAAGGCAGGCTCCTGGCTAAGTAGATACCCCGATGTGGGGCTCAATCCCAGGACCCCGGGATCTTGACCTGAGCGGAAGGCAGAGGCTTTAACCCACTGAGCCACCCCGGCAGCCCTGTATTTAGATTTTTTAAGGTAAAGACTCTCTAGGAACATTCCAAGATTATAGAGACAAGAAAGATTCTAATAATTTTTACAATAAGACCCAAAATTAAAATTAACATCTATGCAGTCTCAGAGGTGATTTTAAATATTGTTGAAGTTATGTTAAAGCATTTTAGAGTATATATTATTTTAACCTGTCACAATTAATGGAATATGTATTTGTCAAAGAAAGGTGTGAATAGTTTTAACATTTGGAAGACCAACAGAAGTAAAAAACAATTGAAGGACACGAGTGGTCAGACCTTCGGCACTCGGTTAATACGATGAAAATCTGCTAACAAAACTCCTGGGTTGAGAGAGGACACGCTCTTCGCTTCCTCCCGGATCCTCGATCCTCGTGGCGACTACGGGAGAGTGATTTTAATCGGAAACCCTGACCTACACAATCTTTCAAAAAAAGGAACTTGGGGGAGGAGAGGCTGGGGGGATGACCAAGTCCTTTTTTTCGCGTGGACTTTCGCCTCTGGTTGGGAGGAACATCCAGCTTGAAACTAGTAAAAGAAGAAAATTCGTGAAACTGCCCAAATATGGCATTTTTCCGTCACCGGAGTTCTCCGCTGCCCATGGCTGGTAGCTCTGAAAAGCATCTCAGTATTGGACCGACTTTCCTAACAAACCTGACTGTGCCCTTGGCGGGGGGAGGCGAGAGGACCGCGAGCGCGGACAATTCATTAGCGCAGGTTCTGGGTGTAAGGGGCACCTGCTTTTTCCGCCTTTGGCCAAACAAAGAGACTGGTCGGCAGGAGGTCCTGGAGGGGGAGCGCTCCTGGCCGGTCCCACGCAGCAGCGGTCCGCGCGCCCGGAGGGTGCTGGGCGACTCCCAGGTCCAGCGCGCGCCGGGCTTCGGGGTTTGGAGGGATATAGGTCCCAGCATCCCCCTCTAACAGTGACTGGCCTTCAGGATCCGCTCTTTTCTGGATACGGCTGGGAACAGAAGCGTGCCCCCTGCAGAGCAAAGGCAGGAGACCAAATTCCGGGAAAACACTTCCCTCGCCGCTCAGCGTGGTTACAGAGAGATTTAAGTCATGTCAAACGATTTCTTTTATTGGACGCCTCTAGGTACTGCAAAAACCCTAATGAGTCGGTCCCGGGGGATCCATGGCGTCACGTGGCTGGCTCCTCCAGGCTCCAGAAAACCTCGGCAGATGGAATGGGGTATTTCCACGACAACACACCAATAAAGACGATCTTTAAAACGTTTCCAGTGGATGGCTGCTGAGAAATCACTGAGTCCCAATCCCCTGTTTAAGCAGATAAGGAAACTGATGCCCAGAGAGAACTGAGACGAGGGGGGGCGGGGGGGGAGAGAGAGCGTGCGCGCTGAATGTCCTGCTTATGAGCGCGGGGCCCGAAGAGCCCCCCACCCCCACTCCACCCCTCCCTGTCCCGATACCCTTAGTTCATCTCACCTCACCTCCCCTCTCCTTGTCTCACTGGGCCAATTCCCTTGGGCAGCCCCTCCGGAGAACAGGTGCACCTAGGCCCGCGAGCTCACGGGGACGTTTGGCATTCCTTCGGACGCCAGTCCACCAGCCCCCAGGAGAAAAGCACAGACTCCCCGACACTCACAACATCTATGACAAATCCGGAGAGCAGAAGTCCAAAGCCAGTGGGCGCGGGTGCAGTTACCCAGACTTGGGCGCGCAACGGCCAAAGTCTTACAAACAGTGCCTAGGAATTGTATCGGCTCTCAGGGGACTTTGCTGGAAAGCCTCTGTCGCAAAAACCTTCCATCGAAACACAACCCGAAACCCCAGAGGCGAGGAGAGGTTAGGGGGAAATTTTTTTTTTTTTCTACTTAAATGCGACATTTCAACTCCCCACCCTCATCCTCGCCCCGGGACATCTTGGTCAGTTTCCCGAGGGCTCAGGTCAACCTCCCCCTCCGTTCCTAAGGTCTCTGTCCGGGCGGGGGTGACCCTCCTCGCCGGTGCCAGGAGGGTGGGAGCTGGCGAGGAGCGGGGAAAGGCGGAGCCTGGAGGGGTGTGTCATTATAAACGTGCGCGCAGCTGGCAGGAGCCGACGCAGCGGTTTCCAGCGCGGTGGCTGAGAACAGAGCTCGTAACCCTCCTCCACCACTTCTGGATTTCTAAATAAATTCTCTCTCTGTGTGTCTCTCTGTGTGTCTTTATCTCTCCATCTCCATCCAATAAGACGGAAAACATCACCTTGCCCATCCAGGTTTTTTTCTTCTTTCAGGATCGTTGGCGGCGAGCGCAGGCAAGGTGCGGGCAGATGCTGGCGGAAGTGGGGCAGAAGGCGGACTGCGTGTGCCCCCACGGGATGAAGCTCAGTTGGGACATCAACGATCCGCAGATGCCTCAGGTGCGTGAAACCCGGTGCGCGCGCGCACGTGGCTCTGTCCATCCAAAAAAGGGCTGGTGGCGTTCAAGTTCTTGCAGAAACTGAGGAGAGATCTCCTCTCCAACCGCCACCTCCCTGAGAGTCCTAATTCGTTAGACAGAAGCCACAAGCCGCAGAGTTGGGATTTGTGATGTGTCTTCTCCTTGCCCTTGTCTGAAACACACCAATTGTCCGGAGAACTGTCAATTAGGCTTCAAGTTCTCAGTCATCTGGTGAGAACAAGACACCTGTCCCTTGCTTTCCTTTATCCAAGCTAGAAACCAGGTGATTCTCTCATCCATTCTTTGAAATCTATGAGAAGGGTACAGCGAATGTAGACATCATTGCTTCTTACGCAGCAAAACTGTAAGACGACTATAAATCACCGTGGCCGGAATCTTAAATAGCAGGACTGAGGTGACTGATGCAGACGCCGGTGGCTGCCCTGGATGGCATGCTAACCAGACCACAGGCGACAAGAGAGCCTCTGGAATCTGGATTTTGGCCCTAACTTCTGATCTTACTTCTCTAATGACAAGGAGATCACCTCCTTTTAGGGTAAATTTATTTTTGTTTTGTTTTAATGGAACAAAGTAGGGTAGAGCCGAGTCCAGGGAATGAGCTGGACAGTTATGCTCTGTCATACTGGTTTAGGGCAGAAACTGAGGAGTGATTTTGAAGTCCTGGGTGTAGGTAGAAGGTGAGAGAAGTGGCTTCCCACACATTTGCAAAGGTGAGCTTCCAGCAATGTTTGGAACTGGGAAAGAGACTACCACATGCCATATATATTAATCAGAAAATAGCGAGTCATTAGCAAGGTCATGTAGCCTCTCAAAGAGATCAGCAATTTTTTTTATGTACATATGTTTAGTAATCCGTTCTATTTGTTTTAAAGTCTGTTACTTCCATCATCCATTTGTGGGAAGGTAGACCATAGCACAGCAAGGACACCTCATTCGCACTGACTGCCCTCCAGAAAATCTTCATAATAGTCTAATCTCGCATTTTAGGAAAGAGCCACTTCCAAATAACGGAAAGATGGCTCCTCTTTTGTGCGTTTTTCTAGACTTCCCGAGCAAATGTGAATTACTTTTCCTTCATAAGACTGGTTCTTAAGCAGGGAATGTGTGTAATATCTCAAAAGGGCAGGTGCACTGGGAAATAGAAGTGGAGAAATAGGATCCTAGCCTCGCTCCGGCTGACTGAAGGAGAAAGAGCTAAACTGGTTATATGACCTTGAGATAGTTCCCGAATATGCCTTCGTTTCAGGCTAAGAAGACCTGTCATCTAGTGGTGGAACTAGATAACAATCTCAAGCTATCAGCCAGATTTTCTGTCATGTTCAGGGTATGCACTTTTGTCTGCATGTGCCGACACTTTAGAACAAAAACAACCCAATCCTTGAGTCCTCCATTTTTTGCTTTGACTTAAAAATACGGTCTCAGTGGCTTCATTTTCAGTGTCGCTGCCTTAGTAGCTGTTATGAGACATGGGGGATGGTGATTCTCTACCCTTACAGGGGGACACTAATGAAATATTCTCTTCTGGGAAATTATCTATTTTACCAAGATCCTTGGATTGAAATGCTCACTTTATAAACAGTTAGCATTTAGTCTACACTTAGAGTTAATAGTACATCATTAAATATTTCATTTGTGACTTTCCTTAAGTCAATGTATTAACTGATGGCAATTACAGTATTTCTGAGAAAAGGTAAATGATGCCTCTTGGTAATAACAATGATTTCAACCATATCCCTATGGTTTGGGAAACAAAATTACCCATTTACCTATTTTTGTTAGAATGCATATTAATGAGGTATTCAAGTCTGAATTGTCCAACTGAGAATAATTTTGCTTTGCCAATGTTTGATTGAATGCCCTTGGGGTGGTGGGAGAGAGAGAAGTTGCAAACAGCTTATTAAGTAGTGATAATACTCTTCTGAGACTTTATCATATCAGGAAAGCCAGTGGCACCTGGCTGTCACAGATCTGTCTGAATCCCAGTTATGCCACTCTAGAAAGTTCTAACTTCCACTTCCTTATCTATGAAATAAGAGTACGGACGCCCATCATGGAAGGCTGTCGTGGGGATCACAGATACTCCATAATGTGGCTTTGCGGGCCATACTGTCTCGGCGCCAAAAGCCCAATTCTGTCATAGATGGAAAACAGCCCTAGCCAATATGCAGACAGATGTGCATGCCCATTTCCCAATACAACTGTGTTTATGGGTCTTGAAATTTGAATTTTAGATTAATTTCCATGTGTCATGAAATCAAATTCTTCGGATTTCCCCCCAAGCATTAAAAAACCTAAAAGTCATTCTTAGCTGGTGGATCGTACTAAGACAGGCTGGATTGGGCCCTAGATTCCTAGGGCTGACCCTTGAGCTAGACAGTACTGGCTAAATATTAAATGTTTCATAAAGGGCAATTTTATATTAAACTTCTATACAAGAGAGACATTGCGGTATACATAACGCATACCATGGGCAAGACCACCAATGATGGATGTTGAAGCAGTGCTGTGCATTTTAGATAAAACTTACTATTTAGATAAAACCATGCGGCTCTTTGTTGAGAAGAGCAAAAATCCACATTGCTCTCGGATGAGGTCCAGGGCTCTGCCAGTTCCACCCTGTGCTGGGGTTGACCTTGATGGCTAAGTCCTTCATCGCGGTGCTCCTATACCCTGGGAGAGCTAAGTTGGGAGGAGCAAGGGAAGCTGTGTTTATCTCTGTCATGTGGCTCTGGGTATCACTGTTGATGCAACCAACAGGTTTAGGGTAGAGGCAAGAGATTTAGAAGGAAAAGCACTGGACCAAAGCGGAGATATTTACAGACTGAACCACATTTCAGTGATAGGGCGTTATAATCACTTTTTAGCCTGGCGCTTTGATGCTTCATTTGAAAACATTTTCACTTCCAATTTAACACTGAAACGTACCCAGAAGTGGTCTCCCATGATGGTAAGAACAGGCCCAGGAGTCAAATTGGTAGGACTCAAGTCCTAGAACCAGGTCTTACCAGCTCTGTACCTTGGACAATCAGTTAACCTCTCTGACCTCTGTGTTCTGTCGGATTAACTACCCATTATAGTAGTTCCTATTGTCTGTGTGTTATGGAGGTTAGAGGAGCTAGTACACAGAGAGCATTTAGAAGATAAGAATGTTATAAACACCCATGACTAGCCAGTGGTCAGAACCGCAGGCACAGACAGGACGGGTGACACTTTGCGATGGCACAGTTTGTGGGTTTTAGGACACTTCTGGAATTAAAAAGAACCAGTTTTTATTCTAATGTGCTTGGGGAAAAATGAAAAGCACAAGGTGTCCGGCTTGGCTTCATCCGCTCGCCCCGTCCTTCCAGGAGCCGGCACACTTCGACCGCTTCTGCGAGTGGCCCGACGGCTACGTGCGCTTCATCTACCGCAGCGACGAGAAGAAGGCCCAGCGCCACCTTTGCGGCTGGGCCATGCGCAACACCAACAACCACAACGGCCACATCCTCAAGAAGTCGTGCCTGGGCGTGGTGGTGTGCGCTCGGGCCTGCGCCCTGCCCGACGGCTCCCGCCTGCAGCTGCGGCCCGCCATCTGCGACAAGGCGCGCCTGAAGCAGCAGAGTGAGGCGGGGACCCCGTGGGGTGGCCTTGTGGCCCCGAGTTTCTGGTTCCCAAGGAATGTTCCCTTTCTTCCTTCACAAGCACCTGGGGTCCAAGTTGTTATTAATATTTCTCTCCCGCTGGCTTGGCAGAGAAGGCGTGTCCCAACTGTCATTCCGCGTTGGAGTTGATTCCCTGTCGAGGGCACAGCGGATACCCCGTAACCAACTTCTGGAGGCTTGATGGCAACGCGATATTTTTCCAAGTAGGTGGGGGGACATCACAGTCTGTAGTGGGTATTTTCATCATACCACAGGGACCAGACCACCTGCCGTGTGCCTTAGGAAGCCCGGACTAACCCAAATAGAGTTTCGTGGTCTGACATCGGGGCTGGGGCTCCCAGAGCCTTACCCAGATCGGAGGAATGAGCTCTGCCTCTGTGTGTTCTGTAAGGGCAGCAGAGAGTAAGCCAAATTATAGTTAATATGGGGAAAAGATTGTTAGCTAATCTTTTTGATTTCTATTATCCGTGCTGTTTTAGGAGTTCAGTAATTTTTTCTGTCATTTTGGAAAAACAAAAAACAACCTGAGATCTTGGGAGAGACCATCAGTTTTTGATGAACGTCGCCAGCTTCCTTCAGCAGAATAAGTTTATAAATAAAGTTTATAAATAAGTTTATAAATAAATAAATAAACAAGATTTATTTCCTTATTAACTCAGGCCAAGGGAGTGCATGATCACCCAAGACCAGAAAGCAAATCAGAGACGGAAGCTAGAAGAAGTGCCGTCAAGAGACAAATGGCCTCTTTTTATCAATCCCAGAGAAAAAGAATTCGAGAACCAGCGGTAATGGGGAGCTAACATGACACTGTGGTCGTTGTTCATTTTCATCACAAAATACATTGCTAATTATGTAAAATACAAATGTCATAAATCAATTAGGTTTTATTTTATGTGAAAATTATATCTCCCACAAAATGTCACTGAAGCCACATTTTGGATAGAGTTCCTAATTTCTTCTTCTTAAAAACAAAAAGCAAACTATCTCTGTAGTCAGTGAGATGGTGAGGATGTGTGCCAACGGCCTGATACAAGGACAGGTACTGGGTTTTAATAAAGAGAGAAACTTGTGCGTACCAACAGTGCACTAATAGTGCCTTCTTGAGACCATCCTTTGCGTTATTTACACAGAACAAATAAAACTTCTTGGGGCAACTTGCTCTGGTTTCAGCCAAAGCACGCCAAGCTGGCCGTGATAGTCCAGGGATAAGAGAAACTGGTGTTCGAGGGTTTTCTATGTGCCAGGCACATGAGGGCTAAGAGCTTCACATATGAAACGGTCACAAAAGCCAGAAGAGAAGGTGGTTGTTACTAAAAGTTTTACAATTAGGAATCTGAGGTTCAGAGAGGTTAAGTAACTTGCTCCATTACTGAGGGACAGAGTCAGGATTTGAACCCAGGTCTGGGTCAGGCTCCTGTGACTCCGTTATTATGAACATAGGATGAGAAACACAGAGCCATCTGCCACTCAGACCCACCCTGCCTGGTGGCCATGAACTCTCTTCGTTCAGCAGTATGGAATTCATACCTGAGCAAGCTCAAGTTCAACCCTTGGGTCCTGCGCCCAAATCACATACCTGAGCAGTTGTAGGGCTCACAACACACATCTGGCCCATTGGAAATTTGTTTTTATTTGTTGGTTGGCTACTGTTACAGATGAGGGCACCCATGTAATTTACATTTTAATGTACAAAAAAATAATATATATATATACATATATATTTTTTAGGCTGGAGAGAATCAAGACAACAGTGGACATTTCAACAACATGCCTCCCTTGGAAAATCCAGAAGAGTTTGATGTAATTGCTGACACTGGCACTGGCTTCCCTATTCCAGGGCAGCCTTGCTTTTCCTTCCCCAGCTCCGAGGCTTACAAAGCTACCGGTGATCTAGCCACCTTCCAAGGAGACGTAATGCCACCCTTTCAGAAATATCCAAATCCAAGAATTTTTTTGCCTAGGCCACCTTGCAGCTATGAATTGGCAGGTCCTGGTTACACAAATTCCAGCCCACATCCCGCCCATTATCCAAATTCCAGCAGCATCTCTAATGACACAGACTGGGTTCGTCTGAATGCACTGCAATATAACGTCAATTCCTACAGCAGCTTTGAGAGAAGCTTTGATTTCACCAGTAAACAACACGGCTGGAAAGCAGCTCTTGGAGCACCTGGCCTTGGGGAGAGGCCCGACCATGGACAGCTCCAGGCCGTGACCACTCACCCGTATTATAACTCAGAGCTTCCCTGCAGGTACCTCTCGACTCCCGCGGCAGGCGCTCCAGCCCTACAGACCGTGATCACCACCACCACCAAAGTGTCCTACCAGGCCTACCAGCCCCCTGCTCTGAGATACTGTGACAGCATACAGGAAGGGAAGAGCCTTTCAGGGTGTAACTATGCTTCTGAAAACATCCCCCTGCCCATCTATCCGGAAAGCTTGGACTTCCCAGCCTCAGTAGCCAGGGCAGCCTCTCCAGCAGGGTCACTTCCTTTGAAAATTCCAGGCGATTGCAGAGCCATCAGACCCACGCTGGCCTTTCCCCAAGAGTCCGCTCCCTCCGGGACAGACGGAGCGGAGACTTGGGATGTGTATCCATCGAGGTTGGGGTCTGCAATCAGTTATTCAGATGGGGCTAGTCCATTCTTTAGCTATGACGATGAGGACTTTTGAACAATAGTCTTGGACACAATGTAATAGTGGTGTCCATGTGTGTAGTGAAATGTGGACTAGAAGCCATCTCTTGTTTGAGCTGGGAAGTTGATCTAGCAGACATGTATAATAAGAATAATGCTGGTCAGCTGAGAAAATTGTGCGTTGGAAATCTTTAGATAGTATAGGGAAATTTTCGCACAGCATTTTAAAACCTACTGCCCTACAGGGGTACCTGGGTGCCTGAGTCAATTAAACCTCCAATGTGATTTTGGCTCAGGTCAGGATCTTGGCTACCAGGGAAATAGAACAATTGTGAGTTGTGAGATCAAGCCCCATGTCAGCCTCCACGCTTGGCGCACAGTCTGCTTCATATTCTCTCTTTCTCTCCTTCTCAAATAAATAAACAAATAAATAAATCTTCAAGGGAAAAAAAAAAACCCTACTGCACTAAACTTGGGATCAGGTCTGAAATGTGACTCTCCCAAATGAACAAATAAGCAAGTTGGGTAGCATCATGATTAATAAGCTAAATTCACTGGGGTAGAAGCCATGAGTGCTGGTTCTCATTCTAAGCCCTTTCTCATTTGACCATAGGGAATTTTACAAATCCTTATCTGGCCCTTAGAGGTTGTCAAAATAGTTTCAGGAAGAAACCTTTACAATCTTATCTCCCAAGTGAGTTCTCAAAATTTTTATTTAGCATTTACAATCTATTACAAGAGCTTCAGGAAATAAATTTGATCATTTTATCTCCAAGCATATAACTACAGCTTTTTAAAAAATCTACAATAGAATGATAACATGCAATTGTTTTTAAGAGAATTTTGTTTTCCAGTATCAGCTAAATACCTTTTCTTAACATCAATGAATGTTTTCATAACAGAAACAGCTTAACGATGATATGTATTTAATGGATTATTATTGTGCTAAAATGTGTTTTTTTTCTGATTTTCAGTATTAGAATTGAGATCTTTTATTCAAATACAGGTTTACTGTTCCTTTGTTACTCCTTATAAATGTTATTGATAATATTTGATCGAATGTAATAAAGATGTCTTAAGGTAGCATTGCTGATGCTTGAGTTATTTCAAAAAAGAAATAGGGGCACCTGGGTGGCTCTGTGGGTTAAGCCTCTGCCTTTGGCTTAGGTCATGATCCCAGGGTGCTGGGATTGAGCCCCGCATGCATCGGACTCTCTGCTCAGCAGGGAGCCTGGTTCCTGCCCCCCCCCACCTGCCTCTCTGCCTACTTGTGATCTCTCTGTCAAATAAATACATAAAATCTTTTAAAAAAATAGGAAAAATTTTGTTCATATTATTACCTGGGAAACTGTTACTTTAATATACAAAAACCTATAGGTTCACGTAACAATATTATAGTTCATTTCATTTTTTGTACCTTTTGACCCCCTTCACCCATTCTGTTCACTCCCCACCCTCACCCCCGGCAACCAACGATCTGTTCTCCTATGAACACCCAACTTTTGTTATTTTAGATTCCACATGTAAGTGAGATCATACGGTATTTGTCTTTCTCTGTCTGACTTATTTAGCATAATGCCCCCAAGATCCGCCCGCGGTGTCACAAATAGCAAGACTTCATTCCTTCTTATGGCTGAATAATATTCCATTGTATCTATACGCCGTGTTTTCTTTATCCATTCATCCATAGGGAGACAAATACTTGGGTCATTTCTGGGACTTGGCTATTGTAAATGATGCTACAATGAACATGGGGGTGCATATAGCTTTTCAAAGTAAGTGTTTTCATTTTCTCAGGATGGATACCCAGCACAGGAATTGCTGAATCACATGTAGTTCTATTTTAAAATTTTTGAGGAACCTCCATGCTGTTTTCCACAGTAATTGGACCAGTTTACATTCCTCCCAATGGTGCAAAAGAGTTCCCTTTTCTCCACATCCTTGCCAACACTTGTTATGTCTTGTCTTCTTAGTAATAGCCATTCTAAAGGTGTGAGCTGATATCCCACTGTGGTTTTGATTTCTATTTCCCTGATGATGGGTGGGTGATGTTGAGCATCTTTTCATGTACCTATTGGTCATTTATGTGTCTTCTTTAGAAATGTCTATTCAGATCCTCTGCCCATGTTTTTAATTGGATTGTTTTTTCGCTATTGACTTGTATGAGTTTTTTATGTGTTTTGGATATTAACCACTTTTTAGATATAGTACTTGTAAATGTTCTCTCCCACTCAGTAAGTTCCCTTTTCCTTGTGTTGATGATTGCCCCTGCTGTGCCAAAACCTTTTAGTTTGATGTCATTCCACTTATTTTTGTTTTTTGGATTTGGTGTCAAATCCAAAAGATCATCACCAAGACCAATGACAAAGAGTTTGTTACCTCTGGTTTTTTTTTCTAGGAATTTTGTAGTTTCAGGCCTTATATTTAAGTTCCAAATCTCCTTGAGTTAATTTTTGTGTATGGTATAAGACAGCGGTCTGGTTTCATTCTTTTGCAACTAGCTGTCCCAGTATGATTTATTGAAGAGACTGTCCTTTCCCCATTGTATATTCTTGGCTGATTTGTTATAAGTTAGTTGCCCATATATGTATGGATTTATTTCTGGGCTCTCTGTTCTGTTCCATTGGTTTATGTGTCTGTTTCTAACGCCACTACCACCACTACCACACTGTTTGTTTCTTACAGCTCTGAAATATAATTTGAAATCAGAGAGCACAATGCCTTCAGCTTTGTTCTTCTTTTTCTTTTCTTTTTCTTTTTCTTTTTTTTTTTTCTTAGATTTTATTTATTTATTTGACAGAGAGAGACACAGTAAGAGGGAACACAAGCAGGGAGAGTGGGGGAGGGAGAAGCAGGCTTCCAGATGAGCAGGAAGCCCGATGCAGGGCTCCATCCCAGGACTCTGGGATCCTGACCTGAGCCAAAGGCAGACGCTTAGCTTAACTACTGAGCCACCCAGGCGCGCAGTTCCTCTTTTTCAAGATAGCTTTGGCTTTTGCGGTCTCTTGTGGTTCCACACAAATTTTAGAGTTTTTTTTTTCTATTTCTGTGGAAAATGCCATTGGAATCTTGGTAGGAATTTTGGACTGAATCTGTAGATTGCTTTGAGTAATATATTACTCAATATATATTAATATATTGAGTGATGTATATTTTAGCAATATGAATTCTTCTGATTCATGAGCTCAGTATATCCACTTATTTGTGACTTCTCTGATTTGTTTCATTAATATCTTACAGTTTTCACTGTGCAGGTTAATTTTATTTCCAGGTATTTCAGTGGCTTATTTTAGAAGAATTATTTGCTATACTAATAAGAAAAAGCCTATTCAAAGAATTCAGAGTCCACGCACATACACACTCACATTATTGCACAGCTCCTGGTACTTACTAAAATCATTCAGTTTTCAAATTAATACAAAGTACATAAATTTCTTTTGAGAATGGAATGGAATGAAATGGAATTTTCACAGAATACTCAACTTGCATAACTAAATGACATCAAGTCAGACGCCATTTTAAATTATTGAGTGTTATATATTTTTTACCAGGTTCATTAAAGCCCTAATACCTGGATGTAATAAATACATTGAGTCCTGGTCTCCAGATTAAATAAATATGAATACACTCCCAAGATTCCTTAGCCAACTCTTTCTCTGAGGAAAGGCTGCCCAGCACATTCACGGACTACTTTTTTCTTTCGACTTCTGTTGCCTGAACACACAGCTTGTAGTAATATCTAACATTTATATGACACCTGCAGGGGCCAGAAACTGTTCTAAACTTTGGACATATGCTAATGTTTTTAACCCTCCCAGCCGTTCTCTGAACTACCTGAGAGACGTGCAGTGACTTACACAGAGCCGGGATCGGAAGTCAGGTCACCTCCAGAATCTAGACGTCAAGAATATGACTTTAGCTTTGACTGGAGTCATTTATCACTGAAATTCCATTTGTACTTAGCACACATGTACTTGGCACTAAGCAGGGAGTCCTAAGTATATATGTCCCTATGTGGGACCAGCGGCATCCACATAGGACAGGCAGAAAAGAGCAGAGCAGGGAGGGGAGTAAATACACTCAGGGTGGAGGCCCTGAGGCAGATGTTTCCCAAAGTATGGTACAAAGGGTACCCTGGTTACGGGCAATTCTAAATAATCTGTAGGTATTTTATGTGAATTGTTATGGATTTATGTTAATGTGTAATAAAGAAAGATATAAGTAATACATCAAACCGATGATTTCAAAATATTCTTGCCGAGACAAAGCAAGAGAGTATGGGGATTGCCTTGGAAGGCAAGGCAATTTACAAAGAGATATTATGCAACCAATAGTGCACAGGTTGCAAGGAAATTCCAAAGAGTGATTAAAATGGATCAAAATGGGTGAGCACTACTGACTAGTGAGACACATTTTCCAGGAGCCAGGGGACAGTGGGTGGCTCAGGTAGAAAGAGTCAATGGTGATGACAATGAGCTTGTAGAACATGGAAGCCAATGAGGGAAACAAACACTTAACAGGACTTTTGGCATCTGCAAGCTTAACCACAGTGCTGAAGAGTCTAGACAGTGGGCAGTACGCAGGAGCCAGGGTGTGCGAGTTGATCCCAGGAGAGGCGGGTGAAGAGACATACCTCAAGTGTCGGCCAGGGGCCCCGCAGCCGTGCCATCCTCCAAGGAGCCAGGATATAGAGCAGGGTGGCTGTGTAGCACAGATCGGTTCTTGTGAACCGGGCCAGCTGAGGAAGGCACAGGACATGTAGACTCCAGATCATATTTACTGCTTAGAAAACTGATTGGCTAGGGAGCAACAAGTTTTGTGGGAAACGCATGGAAGTAGAAAACATATAAAGTCCTAGCCGCCATATTGGCCGCCATATTGTGATTAATATGAAATATTAATTATGAATGCTAGTTATTAATAGCTCTCCGCTTGCAAGTTTATTAGTAGCTTTCAAATATGGGGAGTATAAGTTAGAGCAGCCAGAGTTTCTGACACACTTTGCTCTGCTCAGCTGATGAACTGGGAGGGGCCCAA